TGAGAAGCTTCCTTTCCTCGCCCGGCCGGGCCGCGGGGCGGGAGGTGACCCTGTGAGCCCGGCGCGCGGGCCTGGGGTGGGGGTAGGGTGGGGCGGGGCGGGGCGCGGAGGGAGACCCTGGGGGCGGAGGCCCGAGACCCGCGTATGAGGCGCTCGAACCCCGTCCTCGCGTCCAGGGCCGCGGTGTTCGCAGCGCCGAGGATGTGCGGGCGGACGTCCTGCCACCTGCCCAAGGAGGTCCTCGCCCGGGCCTGCGCCTACCGGGACCGGCAGGGCCAGCGGCGGCTCCCAGAGTGGAGGGACCCGGACCGGTACTGCCCGTCGTACAACAAGAGCCCGCAGTCCAGCAGCCCGGTGCTCCTGTCCCGGCTGCACGTAGAGAAGGTGAGCGCTGACCTGCCCTGCGCCCGTCGCTGCGCCTGTGCTGAGGCCTCCGGGGACGGGTCACTGTTCCTGGGGCCCCAAGCTGAGTGCTGCTCTGCACGAGTCGCGCCAGCCCTGGTGCCTGCCCCGTTCATATGCATTTGAAAACACTTTAAGGTAGCGTCTTTCAGACCTCACTGATCATCAGGGACTTTTCATTATCTTTAAAAAAAAAAAAAAAAAAGGATTTCCATGCCCTTTATGGGTCCAGCGAAGTCAGAATCTCTGGGCTTAGGGCAGGACTAAGACTAGCTAGTCTAAAAACACCTCTGACGTTTCTTGAACGTTTAAGTTTCTATTCTTTCTGCTTGCGTCTTCAGTCTTTTTGTTTGTCTTTTACTGAAGCTAGGAACAGAGGTATTTGGTTTGGTGTTCTGAAGTTTAATTGCATTCTTTATCTTTGTAGAATCTACTTCTGTAGTGTTGGAGTGGCCGATAATTTATAATCATGTTTTGGTTCTTGGCTTTATCTCCTGAAAAAGAAGGAGTGTGTGTCTGTATGCATGCATACCTGCAGTGTAATAAAAATGCTTCATTCCAGAAATCAGTAGTTTTTCCATGTCTTAAATATTTTAAATATCCTTGATATGTTTTTTAAAATCCTGATCGTTTCCATCCTGGATTTTTATTCTATCTGATCCATAATGCTTAAGTCACTTGATACAATTGATTATACCCCTGCTGCATACTCTTCGGAACTGTTGTGATAATATGGTAGTCAAAAAGATTCATTTTTCCGTTATGGGGATCAGATTATTTTGAAAAAGAAAATACCAGATGACTTTGATCTTTTTGGTTGAATGAAGCCATTTACATGAAAGTTTATTCTCGAGCCATTTTTAGTGGATGCATACTTGTGGAAACTAAAAGAACTTTTTTTAATGAGAGGCAAATCAAAGTAAAATCAATATCATGGGGAACCTTAACTGGGAAAGGAAAAAATAAAACGTTTCAGAGGGAGGCATAATTTGAAGACAAAGAAGGATTAACTGTTTGAGGTTTCTTATTTTTTAGCCTCGATTCTCTTTGTACCACATCATTAAAATTATAGAATGAATGTTAGCTGGAAGAAAACTTTAACAGATGTAAAGACAGAAGTGTAGAAAGATTGTGAGTGGTGCTGGGTTACCCAGTCAGTGAGGGAAGAGCTGGTACCGAGGTCCAGTCCACTGTTCCCACTCCAGTGGATACCTCCTGGAACTAGGAATGGGGATGGTGGAGCCCCTAAGCACGGCATAGCCCTCCTCTTCTGTCAGTGGTGTCAGTTTGCTGATGGAATGTTTTGACTCCACATCTCTAATAAATTTTATAAAGATTGCTAGGGGTTTCCTAATTTTGATAAATATTTGAGGTTTCATTTATCTGAAAACGGAAATAGTAAATTGTAAGACGAAAATAGAACTATTTCAGATCACTAATCCGTATCGTCAATGTCAGCGCATGTGTATAGATCGTAACATTTGCATTTGAAGCCACTGACTTGCAAATTACTTCCTCTTTCATTTATCTACCCTCAGTGCTACCAGCTGTTCAGGTTACAAGTCCAAGAGGGTAGAGGAAAAGATGACTAATATTGAGCAATATTTTCAGTATTTTGGCTTAGAAGCCGCTTTCTATTCATTGCTCCCAGTATGGGGCAGCCCTCTATTTGGGTTTGGTTTACAATTGTCCATTGAACACACTCAGGTTAAAGGTGATCAGTGGAATTTGTACGAGCATGATTTCTCAGCCTTGTCACTCTTGACATTTTAAGTGGGATAGTTGTTGTGGGAAGCTGACCTGTGCGGTGTAGAATGTTTAGCAGCGTCACTGGCCTCTACCCAGTAGATGCCAGTTTTACCTAGGTCACCATAACCAAAAATGTCTCTTGACATTGCCAAATACCCATTCGATATACCCACTCGATGCCAGTGGGCCAGCCCTCACCCCCGGGCTTGGTGAAGTGAAGGTGACGGTGTCAGAATTGCCCCATGTCCAGAACCTCAGATTTAGAGTTTTGTCTTGTAGATTTCTGATGCGAGATTGTTTAGTTGGCTGTGAGATAATGTTATCTCTTATTTTCATTTATGCATACAGGGGG